GGTCAGTGAGGTTCTGTAGGTCAGTGAGGTTCTGTAGGTCAGTGTGGTTCTGTAGGTCAGTGTGGTTCTGTAGGTCAGTGTGGTTCTGTAGGTCAGTGTGGTTCTGTAGGTCAGTGAGGTTCTGTAGGTCAGTGAGGTTCTGTAGGTCAGTGAGGTTCTGTAGGTCAGTGAGGTTCTGTAGGTCAGTCAGGTTCTGTAGGGCTCTGCCAGCAGTTCTGCTGCACATCCTGATGATCCCTGAGAGTTTGTTCTTCCATGTCAAAAGTCCAAACCAACAAAGGTGCAAGTTGAGAGACTCAGTAAAACTTTCTCATAAAAGGTGAATCAACATTAAAACCACAGCTTCTGATAAAAACACAGTTGTATTTGTTTTGTAGCATGAAGCTGCTCTAACTGTGACCCCTGACCCTTGTTCATCTTCCAGACTCTCCATGAATCGTGTTCTGTAAAGTTTCCTCTGACTTCAGTACTTGATGTTTGTCCACATGTCCTGTCCTTGGACACAGACTCAGCTACAGTCTGACTAATCTTTATCTTATTTCTTCCTGTTTCTAAGAAAGAAAACAAATCATTAATGATGTTTGTTTTATTTGATTAACAAGTGTGAACATGAATAATTGTGATTATTGTTTTCAGTCATTATAATGAAATCATGTGAAATATTACAATATGAACAACACATTTCTCTGTTTTTCAGAAAGTGATTGTTCCTTCAGAGACACCTGTGGAAACGTTCTTTGAGCTGGAAGCTGTTTTCTTCAGAGGGAGCCACAATGTTCTCATGTCCGTCAAACAATCTTCTCAGAGCTCATGTTTTGCACAAAGTCTCGTTGTGTGAACAACAGTTCACCTTGGACCCCCGAACTGAGCAGTTTGTCTCCAGCCCCGAACCGGAAGACGGTTCGTCTGTGGACCTGATCCTGGTCGTAGTGCCAAGGTCCACTGGTTCAACTCTTGAGCCACGTATCCTGATGCATGCTCAATAATCCAGGTAGAAAAATCCAAAAAAGTTCAGTCTGGTCCTCTGGACATTCAAAAAAACAAAAAAACAAAACAAAGCAAAAAAATCTAGAAACGTTTCGTCTCTCATCCGAGAAACTTCTTCAGTCTGAGGAGCTGTATTCAGCTCAGTCTCTTAAATAGCACCTTCTCAGAGTGGATCAACCAGTTTTGCTGCTGACAACCAGAACCAGCTGATCACATGCTCAAGAAGGACCATCAGCCTAACAATGGATCATTAGCACCTGATGGCTGTTTACTATTCACAGAGGGCTGAGTGATACTAGCAATCACAGCATTGTAAGAGGGGGACAGTTGAACCTGGAGGCTCCGCCCCTGTTTAATGATGGACGGTTTCTTTTCACAAAGATGGCCTCCTTTACTCCTCTCTCAAACCATCGTTCCTCTCTGTCCAGGATGTGAACATCTTCATCCCTGAAAGAGTGACCGCTGGCCTGGAGATGAGTGTAGACCGCAGAGTCCTGGCCTGATGATGTTGATCTTCTGTGCTGGTCCATCCTTTTGGCCAGTGGCTGTTTTGTTTCCCCGATGTAAGACTGATCACCCTCCTGACACTGAACAACATACACAATATTGCTCTGTTTGTGCCGGGGGACTGGATCTTTGGGATGAACCAGTCTTTAATGTATTTTGGGGTTTAAAAGCCACTGGGACGTTATGTTTAGAAAATAAACGTCTCCGTTTCTCTGATACGCCCTCAACATATGGAATGACCACTGGTCTGGGTCTGGGTTCCTCCTTTTCACCTGATGGCTGACTGGAGTCCTGTTTGGGTTTCTTCTTTCAGGAAGGCCCAGTTAGGATATCCACATTGCTCTAGAGCCTGTCTTGTGTAGGATTTCTCCTTCTGCCTGGCTCCTGAGCTAGTGGGGACGCTGTCTGCTCTGTGGTACAGAGTCCTGATGACTCCTAACTTGTGCTCCAAAGGGTGATGGGAGTCAAACTGCAAATACTGGTCTGTGTGGGTGGGTTTGTGGTACACCTCAGTTTGCAAATGTCCTCTATCAGAGACTGAGACCTCACAGTCCAAGAAAGCCAACCTGCCATTTTTTACATCTTCTCGTGTGAACTTGATGTATTTATCCACAGAGTTGATGTGGTCAGTAAAATGTTGGACTTCCTGAGATTTGATTTTAACCCAGGTGTCGTCAACATACCTGAACCAATGACTTGTTGGTGTCCCTGAAAAGGACGTCAAGGCTCTTTTCTACCTCCTCCATGTACAGGTTGGCAACAATAGGAGAAAGTGGAGACCCCATAGCACACCCATGTTTCTGCCTATAATATTGCTCCCCATATGTGAAGTAGGTTGACTGCAGGCACAGTTTCAAGAGTTGACACAGTTGTTCTGTGGAAAGCGTGGTCCTGCTGCTCAGAGTGGTGTCTGATTTTAATCTTAAACTGACCACCTCTATGCACTCACCACTCTTAGCAAGGACAAAAACATCATCATTCTCCCAGCAGACAAAGGAAGGTGCACAGTGATCTTGAACCAAAAAGACTATCATGAAAAAGTTATGACACTCCTTAGCGACTTAAGCTGTCAAAATAAAGTTGAATGAAAAATCAATCAATCAATCATTCAACCTTTATCTATACAGGTAAATCCCATTGAGCCTCGAGGACTCATTTACAAGAGAGACCTGATTTCAACAAAGAAAGATGACAACAATGGACAACAGCGACAACAATAAACAGTTATAAAAAAGCATACTACAGTTTTTTTATTTTATTTTATTTTTTTAACAAATAGGATGGCTAAAAGGAAAAGGTAACAAAACAAAAAACAGCTAGATTCCAGGACAAATGTAGAAAACTAAAAACAGGAACATGTCTGCATTGGTCCCTGCCAGGTGTCCAACAGATTCTTAAAGACACTTAGAGAGGTCAAAGGTCGAGAGCTTCAGATCTTTTTACAAGATATTCCAGGAAACAGGAGCGGAGTAGGAGAAGGTCCTTTTGTCTAGTTCAGTCCTCACTGAGGGAACACTGCAGGTAATGATGTCCTGAGAGCGCACGCTGTAGCTGCACTCACGCAGAGACATGTAGGAGGAGATGTATGAAGGCAGCAGACCAATAAGTGATTTAAAGATGAAAATGTACCAGTGAGAGAGTCTGTGTGAAGTTAATGATGTCCAGTTAACCAGTGAATACTGGGTGCAGTGGTGGGTATGGTAGTTACAGCCAGTTATGAATCTTAATGCACCATGATAGACAGCATCCAACATCTGCAGCATCCAACATCTGCAGGGTTCTTGTAGGAGCGTTCATGTAAATAATATCACCATAATCAATTGAGGGAAGGAAAGTCACAGATACAAGGCGTTTCCTAACATTCAGGGTTAGACAGGATCTGTTTCTGAAAAAGAAAACCAGTTTAACTTCCAGTTTCTTTACCAAGTTTTCCACATGGAGCTTAAAAGAGAGATGTGAGTCGACCAAGATACCCAAATATTTATAGGAATCAACAAACTCAATGGGGACACCATTTGAGGATAAAATCGGAGGAAGAACTGCTAGGACCAACTTCCTATTTGAAAAAAGCATCCCTTTGGTTTTGTCGGCATTTAGGACAAGTTTGAGACAGAACAAATCAGTCTGGATGATGTTGAATGCAGATTTCAAAAGCTGGAAAGCCTTAGCAACTGTTTTAGCTCGACAATAAACAACTGTGTCGTCAGCATAGAAATGTATGGATGCATTAGGGATGTTTTTACCTACATTATGTATGTAGATTGTAAAGAGGGTGGGTCCTAAGACTGAGCCTTGTGGTACACCATTGTTGACTGTTAAATAACTGGAGGAAGTACCATTATGTTGAACACATTGCCTCCGGTCTGAAAGATAGTTAGAGCTAGAGAACCAACCAATGGTGTGTTCTGAGAAACCCATTTCTGAGAGTTTATGACACAAGATGTTCTGATCCACAGTGTCAAAAGCTTTAGACAGGTCTAAGAAAAGTGCAGCACAATAATCCAGTGCTTCAACAACGTCATTAAGAACCTTCAGTGAAGCAGTGGTTTAGTGGTACAACACCTGGGTTAAAATTAAATCTCAGGAAGTCCAACATTTCATTTGTTGTTATTGTTATAATTATTATATTATTATTTATTTATGTATATTTTATTTATTTATTTATTCATATTAGAAAGTCGTTGTAGTTTCTCGCGCTCGTCTTCTTTTATTTTTAAGGTAATGACCGGATGTGAGGTCATTAGAATCTGCGAGGCAACATGGCGGCCACCGGCAGAGCGGATGACTTGCGATATGTAGAATATTCCAATCAAACAAATGTCCGGAGCGACGCAGAGATCGACAGGCGGCTGGTCAGTGTGTGAAGTAACGTCTGTGGCTCTGGAGGAGTCTGTTCAACCAAATTTATTTTAATTCAACGTTTGTTGTCTCACCGCAATGACCGCTAGCGGAGCGTGACGTCATAAACACGCGCTTCTGATACAGAGCTGGGAAATTAATTCAACCTTTATTTAGACAGCTTAACAAATGTTGGACGAATGATCAGTTGTTACTGTTCTTTTACAGTTTTGAGCAATATCGCTGTAAAATAATGTTTTATAAACATCTTTTGTCCTTTCATGGTGAAGTAAGTGACTAAGTTTATTAAGTCCTCTGCACAGTGTCTGCAGGAGTCCACACTTTTACAAGCAGTTAATCCACTTTAGTAACTCATGGATGTTTTATTTTTACAGGGCAGGACTCTGATTGCAGTTGGTCTTGGAGTGGCTGCTGCAGGTTTTGCAGGTAATTAAAGTTTCTGAGAAGAAATCAAACGCAAACCAGACAAAATACAATGAAACCACCACTCCTGGTGCCTCTCAGCGAGAAGGTCGCCGGTTCAAGTCCCACCCGGTGGAGTTTGCATGTTCTCTTCGTGCAGCGTGGGTTTTCTCCGGGTACTCCAGTTTCCTCCCACAGACCAAAAATGTTAGACTGACTGGTAACTCTGGATTGTCTCTAGGTGAGAGAGAATGGTTGTTTGTCTCCAGGTGTCCCTGTGATGGACTGGAGACTTGTCCAGGTGTCCCTGTGATGGAGTTGAGACTTGTCCAGGGTGTCCCTGTGATGGAGTGGAGACTTGTCCAGGGTGTCCCTGTGATGGAGTGGAGACTTGTCCAGGGTGTCCCTGTGATGGAGTGGAGACTTGTCCAGGGTGTCCCTGTGATGGACTGGAGACTTGTCCAGGGTGTCCCCTGCCTCTTGCAAACACACACAGTGAAAGCTGGATTTTGGCACCAGTGACCCCCACGACCTGAAAAGGAACATGAAGATAAAATGATGGATGAAAGTCACAGTTTGTTCAGTGTAACCTCCATTTTTTGCCCTTTGTGAATCTTAAAATCATTTGACCACTAGATGTTGCTGTGGCAACACGTTCCCATAATTGTATATTTATAATTTTATATAATTCAGTTCAGTTTATTTCTGTAGCTCCAAGTCCCAAAAGAATTCATCTCAGGACACTGAACAGAAACATTCACAGACATTAAAAACTCCAATTGATAAAAGTTCTCCATCTGAGGAAGCAGCAGATTGAGTTGAAGCTTCACTTCATCACAGTCTCTCATCCTGAGCAAGAACAGAGGAGACAGTGGGAAGAAAAACTCCCTTTAACAGGAAGAAACCTCCAGAACCAGGAACAAGACGAGCGAACATCTGCTTCAAGCAGCTGGTTTGAGAGGACAGGAAGTAGAAACAGACACAGAATGACACGTCCAGGTGTAGTTTCTATAGTCCAGGTGTAGTTTCTATAGTCCAGGTGTAGTTTCTATGGTTCAGGTGTAGTTTCTATAGTCCAGGTGTACTTTCTATAGTCCAGGTGAACTTTCTATAGTCCAGGTGAACTTTCTATATTTCAGGTGTATTTTCTATAGTCCAGGTGTACTTTCTATAGTCCAGGTGTACTTTCTAT